ATAACACGTTACACAACTTAACAATATTTGCACCGAATATTACAAAGCACTTGCTCGAATAAATCTTTAATTGAAAAGCATACAATATTAAAAATAAAAATGTTAAAAAATTTCTGTTAGCTAATAACGAGAATTTATCTATATTTATTCGTCGTTATTATAGGGTGATCATGTGCCACAACACGTAGGTCCACCAGTCCCCTGTTGCTGCATTAAATTGGTGGACGTTCCAGAAATGGATTACTTTACAAAGAAGAATCAAGGCGAAGTGTGCGTAAAAGGCACCAACGTATTCGTAGGATATTTCAAAGATCCCGAAAGAACTATCGAAGTTATCGATGAATTTGGTTGGCATCATACCGGTGACGTTGGCATGTGGTTACCTGTAAGAGAAAGAAATATAATTCAACATATTTTTATAACATATCTCACCTTATTATATATTATATATATTTCATTATATAAAATTTATGTATACATTATATATTATATTCATTTTCTTTTTATTAAGAAAGATATCAAACAACTCAAATTCAATTTACTTTCCTTTTTTAACAAACAGAACATTTGTTATTATTATATTAATATTTAATTATTTTTTCTAATTAATAACATTCTCCCATCTTACAGAACGGAACACTTAAAATAATCGACCGAAGGAAACACACCTTCAAGCTTTCGCAAGGAGAGTACATAGTTCCAGAGAAAATCGAGAGTATTTATTTACGCAGTCAATATGTTCATCAAGTGTTCGTCCATGGAGAATCCCTAAAATCTTGTGTTGTGGGAATAGTAATACCAGATGTAGATGTTGTAAAATGTTGGGCTGTAGAAAACGGTATACCAGGTACGCTCAGCGTATTATGTGCTAATCCACAAGTCAAACAATTGATTATGGACGATATGCTTTCGTGGGGAAAAGAAGCTGGTCTCAAATCGTTCGAACAGGTGAGAAAAATCCGACAGTTTTACTTAAAATAATCTTTGTTTCCATTTTTCCTTCGACGCATAAAAGAAGATAAAGAAAGTTTTATTTTCTTTAAAATATAAATTAAGACATTCTTTAATTAAAAGTATATTCAAGTATCAGTGTAATTACGCCATTCGTTACTTTCGTAGAATGGAAATGCAAAAGATAAAAACTCTGAACATTCTTGGAGAATGAAAACACTTCCAAGCAATTTTTATTTTTTGCAAATGATATACAACGCTGTCATTTTTGTTGATATCAGGTGAAAGACATTTATTTGCATCCCGATCCGTTCTCCGTGCAAAACGGCCTTCTTACACCAACATTGAAAATGAGGCGACCTCAGTTGAAAGAGTATTTCAAACCGCAGATAGAGGATCTCTATCGACATTTGGACTGATCAGACTGAACACTGATTTCATATTATCTTCATTAGCATCGGGAAGAGCAAAAAGGATCGACGCGCATTTGTGTCGCATTCACAAAGAAATCACTTCCTCCATCGAATATTCGTAACCCCGCGATATTTTTATTATATCATTTTCTTCACAATTACATAGCGACGCAACAAAAACGGAAGCAAAGCACCGTTTACGCTATAAAGTAAATTGATAACATTATAATAAAATGTATTGTAATTAGGCGCGTCTCGTTTTCTCTTGACTATAATCATCCTTCGATACTTGTCGCGTGTATATTTACAGATTTCTTCGTCCCCCTATCCTCGTATTTTGATACAGATTATTACCGCTTTTATGATATATATAACGGCATACATAGATGTACATTTTTATTGATAACAATAATTAAACGAACTTTGAATTATAATTTAGTACAAAGTAGAATATTTTGAAACTTGTATATCATTTCTTTCCGTAAATGCAATCGGACATATGTGCGATGTGTAAAACAAACTTGAGATTAACATAATAAATAGATTGCAAAACTGAGCAACTTAAAAAGTAGTGTAGGTAATTTTAAATATTTGAGAACATTTAAATAAATTCTGCTTGTGAACAGTGCTCACTAACAACAGCGATGGATAGATAAACTTTTTATAATTATTAATAATATGTTAGAACTTTTCCCTCACTGTTTGGCGGCATTCTGTCATATTTAAGCGTTTCTTCTTGTATAATAACATGAGATCTATATTAAATCGATACAAAACTGTGATTAATATTAGTAAGCACAGAATGCTTAACTTATGATACCACATTCTCCAAACCAATGAAAAGATTAATGAAAAATATTAATAAAATATATGATATGTAACATTCCGTATAATTTAATCCCCTAACAAACATTGTATTTAATAATCGTAATACCTGAAATTGAGTGAATATTAAATATGGCCTTTAAGCTGATATTCCCAACCAAAATTCGTTCTATTCTCGTCTTTAGCTTTTAGATTTAAAGCTATAATATATGGCAATACAAGCAACAATTATAAGCGTTAATGCTACCATTGCTAAAATAATTCTTTGTTGAATGTTTCTAAAAATCATTATTGAGAGTAAACGTGAACCACGACCCAACTCTGCATCTGTTTCTCGTAACTAAAACAAATAAATTACATTAGCATCAATAATAATGTTTGACAAAAATTTATCATGTAAAACTGAAGTACATGATATCTTACTCTTGCTCTTCCTTTTTGAATTGTTTCTCTTTGCTCATGTAGTTCTTTTAATACCTGAGAACCAATTTCTTCTGTTTCCAATACCATTCGATATCCATTCTGCAATGTTCTTCCTGAACGTTCTATTTGTTCAGACGCATCTAATAACCTTCTCTTTTGATCCTCTGTAATATTACTATCCCATGAATCTTCCCTACTTATTTCGATACTTTCATCCCTTGCCTTTTTGGCTGATTGAAATTCTTGTGTTAATCGTTTCAGTTCTGCTCGATGACTTTCCACTCGACCGCGTAAGCGGTCGCGAGCTGTACCATTCATCCCACGGACTTCCAACTCCATTTGCTCAAGCTGCCAATAAATCAATCAGAAGTAATAAAAATTGTCACAATTTTATTTAGTTATTTGGTTTTCATATAAACAAAGTGATTAAAACATATAATCCTCCCGTTTCACTTGTTTTCATGTGGATAATGAGATAAAAATGAAACGTTAATTCTAACCCCAAAATCGAAGATACAAATTCCCGAAATTTTTTGCAATCTAAAACCCCGATGCATTAAAATGACTCCAAGATAGAAAAGAAAGTAAATATTTTACCAATTCTTGAGCCTCTTCGATCTGCCTGTCCACATCTTGAATGAAGACTTTTTTCTCATCTGTAAATTACGTCACGTGTATCGATTATTGTTGTTTAATAATGCCAGAGCATAGATAGTGTTCACTTTAAAAACAAACAATCTGCGCTTCACAATAAAAAGATCATTATGATTTTATTTTTCTCGTACTTACTGCCGCTTTGTGTTCTTATTCTACCAATTTTTGCTGTAATGTCAGCTGTCAAAACGGCGTATTGTTGCTCATAGTTGTCAATGAGCGACGCCATCTTGAACGTATTTCCATTGGAGACGAATAAACGTTCGTTATACCTATATATACGTTAAATGACTTGTGCGTTCTGAAATTAGCTGAGAAAAATATTTGGCTTTTGTACATTCCAACAATTTTTTACATGAAAAAAAAAATGGAAATACATATATATATATATATTGTTTAAATAAAAGGTAAAAAAAAAGTGATTTTTTTCAAATATACATGAAAAAACTTACAGATACATTATATAGATGCGATATTTATCATAAACCTTAACTTTAAAAATATGATCGAATGTAAAAATTATGCAATTATTACTTCAAAAATTTCCGAAATTTTTCTTTATTAGCAAATAATGGTTTTTTTTACATAATTAAATATGGATGCGTTATTATAATTTCTAAATGTACACAAATATACAAATGTATATAATACATTATATTGTTCAGTGTCTAGCTTTTTGTACAATTCTAATTGTAAGTATGTACATAACGTTCGTTCATAAAATCTCTATTGATGTTAAATCTATTTAATACTTTATTCGTGATAACGCCATGTTTATTCATGAGACACGTCTTCAAAAATGAAAGAACATAAGTTTGATGCACGAATCTCATACTAGAAAATTAATAAACTTTCAAATGATTATTCCATTGAACTGAACGGTCGTCAAAATAAAAAAAGATTAAATAAATAAAAAAGTGAAATAGTAGAAAGAAATAGTGGATGGCAAAATCGAAATGTGGCTACAGAATTGACACGTCATTGGTAATACACCAATCAGTAGAAGAATTTAAAGGGTACTGCCAATCGTCTTAGTTGGTTACAAAGCCGACCACGGGCAATCTATTTTCGATTTAACATTCGAAATGAAGATGGCTGCCGAGGTGAGGTGGCTTTTAATTTTTCAAATATTTTGTTTAATTTGTGCGGTCTTCGGCGAGACACCTCATCGGAAATTCGAGTATAAATACTCGTTTAAGCCACCATATCTTGCACAAAAAGATGGAAGCGTGCCTTTCTGGGAATACGGAGGAAGTGAGTAAAGTATAAACCTAACCAATTACGTGCGTTATAAAATACTGCCGTATGTTCTTTTCTTATAGTCGGCTTTTTGATTATTTAAATGAAATGCACTATCACTTTGTTTAGAATTGTTAATTTTCATCGAATCTCTTCTTTTTTAATGTAATCACGTGTCGAAATGATAATATTTACTTAATAAAATTTGATGAAATTATTACAACAGATGTACATGTTTTTATTTGCACTCGAAATTAGTATAATTTACTTTAAATATTGAAGCACAATCAATTATTCGAATTTTCATATGTAGAAATGCAATTTTATAATTCAACATTATGATATGTAGGATATTTTATTGTCGTGTCTACGACACTTAAATTTATTATATTTTATTTAATAAGTAATCATTTATTATTTAATCATTTACAAAAAATATTTATATTTCAGATGCGATTGCTAGTGCAGAAAATGTTAGAGTAGCTCCATCATTGAAAAGCCAAAAAGGTATGTGAAAAATTAATTTTAGTTTAACTTTTATTTTCTTGTACAATTTATGTTAAATTATAATTAAAATTGTTTCTAATGTAAATAAATATATTTTAAAGGCTGGTATACATATTCTCTATATTTTAAACTGTAGCGTGATATTTATTAAGTAACATTCAATACTAATATAGCAACATATGCAATGCAAAATAATATAACGTATGTAAATATCGTATCTTTAACGTATCTTTCTGTATTAACAAAAATTTGCATGAAATTTGTTTTTCATTGTTATCTTGCATTAAACAAATTTGAAATAATATTTAGGTGCAATTTGGGTGAAACAACCTGTTATTTTTGATTGGTGGGAAGTTGAACTTATATTCAGAATAACAGGAAGAGGAAGAATTGGAGCAGATGGTTTAGCATTTTGGTATACTGCTGCAAAGGGTGCTTACAATGGTACTGTCTTTGGCAGTTCTGATCAGTGGAAAGGTCTTGGCATCTTCTTTGATTCCTTTGACAATGACAATAAACACAATAACCCTTATATCATGGCAGTCCTCAATGAAGGCACAGAAACCTTTGATCATGCTAAGTGAAGTACATTTCTTATTATATTTTCCTTAGTATTAGTTAATATTTTTAATGATTGATTCTTTACCTTGAATTTGGTACAGTGATGGCACAACACAGTTATCCGCTGGTTGTTTAAGAGACTTCCGCAATAAACCATATGCTACAAGAGCAAAAATTGAATATTATCAGAACACTTTAACAGTAAGTATATTTATATATTTGTATACACATTCTTATTTATTGTACTTATCAGACAATTTTTCATTCTAATACTTAATTAAAGGTGTTATTCCATAATGGTATGACAAACAGTGAACAAGATTATGAAATGTGTTTCCGAGTTGAAAATGTTGGTTTACCAAAAGGAGGATACTTTGGTGTTTCTGCTGCTACTGGTACTTGTTATTGGAAAGTTATTAGGTTAATCTTTATTACGATACAATATAACCACGATTTTCTGTAATGTCTTTTAGGTGGCTTGGCTGATGATCATGATGTTTCACATTTCTTAACACATTCTCTGTATCCTCCTGGTCAATTTCGGCCAAATGGGCAAAAAGTATCTCTTGAAGAACAACAAAAACTTAGTCAGGAGTATATGGATTATCAGAAAAAGTTAGAGCAACAAAAAGAAGAATATCACAGGTAAAGAATATTATAACAGTATATTTCAGTTATAAAGTATGTCCTCAAAATTTATCAAGATATATACCATAATTTTATTTACCAGAGATCATCCAAATGAACAACGCGAAAAAGAAGAATTTATGGAATATTTCGAAACTGACAATCAAAGAGAATTGCGACAAATTTTCGCTGGTCAAAGTCAAATGTTTGATGCTCTGCGCGAACTTAATAGAAAATTAGACGAGGTAGTAGGAAGACAAGAAAGATCTTTAAGTTTAATATCTCAACTTCAAGTTGGTGGTAAGATCTTATTGAATTATCAATGGATAAACGTAAAGTTGAATAAGAAATTCAAGTTATATGAAATAAGTAGGTGTGCAAGTGGGAGGTCAACCAGGACAACAAGTACAATTGATCGACACAATTCGTCGACAAGAAGTCGATGCTCTACTAAACAATCAAAATAATATATTAAATACAGCAAGAGAAATTAAGTCTTTTGTAAATGAAGTATACTCCAAAACTGACACTATTCTTAACAATCAGGCTCGAACTCCAACCGCTCAGGTCTTTATTAAAGTTTAATTTTGTTAATATTCGCCCAACGTGTTTTATTAAAAATGAATTTTTTAGGTGCAGCCGATGGGATATGATTATCATTCGCTTGTTTCGGAAATGCGAGATGGACTTAATACATTAAAGAGGGATATCAGCCAAATAAATACTAAAATAAGCAGCGGAGGATCAGATTGTCCAACAATGAATTGCTTAACAACAACCATGTTCTTACTTTTTGTGGCAATGCAGATGATTATTTTGTTAGCATACAGCATGTACCGGTAAATATTTACTTTATTTTCTGACATGATATGTGTGTTTGAATATGAATTGAATTAAATTATCTCTTTACTTACAGAGACAATAAAGAAGCACAGGCAAAAAAGTTATACTAATATTTGTTATCAATCCTACAGTGCAAAAGTAAGGATATAAAAATAAATTTCTACCTTTGCGTACTGACTCAATATTTTTATCATTTGTTAATTCGTAAAACATGCATTTTTTGCTGAACATTTGTACAATAAATACATTTTTCATTCACGATAGATTTAATGCGATATAGTAAGGTGCAATCAGTTCTCCTGAGATATAAAAAAAGAAGTAATTACTTATGCTCAGCTTTGTATAATTCAGTCATTCTGAATATAACTCTCAATGCGTCATATATTTCTTGTCATTGTAAACCATAGACATAAATATACATAAAGTGACAGAAAGTAGGCGCAGTGATCTTTAAACTCGACAAATTTTGTCGTGCTTAGATGATGGTTGTGTATGATATATATTTTTTTATTATTGTTCGTTAGGAATATTTCGTGCTATGAGCACATCCTTTTTTTTTTAATTTCATTTAAAAAAATAATTGTTTTTTTTTACATATTGATTTATTGTAATGTTAGAAACTATATATAAATATTTGTATACAAATTTTGTATTGAAAATTGGCATATCGAGTATCGAAAGCTGAGACAATTTTTTCTTAAGAAATAACAATAATTCTTATCGTTTACGATGTTTGTCGATCTGGTACTACATTCCTTTAGATGATTGAGCGTATAGGTAAGTTTCGCGTTTTTAACGTGATAGATACTTAAAAATAAGGAACGCTGGTATAACTCTATCGAATTCAAAGTGAAAAAACAATGTCGAACAATCATTACATTTTTGAAGGTCTGTAATAAAAACACTTTTGTTAATACATCCTTTGTAAGTGTATATGGTATATCGAGTAGCAGCGTAGACAGGAACAATTTGAATTATCCGTGAATTATCCTGTCAATCTTATTGCATTTGTAAAAGTTTATCGAAGATTGTAAATGTATAATGAAATATATCTAGTAATAAAATTACTAATTTAAAAAATACGGACTGAAATTTAATAAACTTGAAGTTGAAATTCAAAGGATATTGAAAGAATACTTGCGAGCATTTGAAGTCGCTTATCTTCCGAAATCGATTATTTTAATTCTCGAGATGACTGTACCTTTGGTCAATCGAAGTATGATAAAATGAGTAATGTAAAGTGTGCAACGATTTTATTGTGCTTTTTGACGAATTTTTGAAGAACTGAATATGGGTATGTAATTTTTGTGTAAAGTTTTAAAACATACATTATATCATGTTAAATTTTGTCAAATAACTTTTGTATAAATAATTACGTTTTTATTTCCTTCACAACTAAAATGTGATGTTTTATATCATCCAATCATCCTAATCCTAATAAGATGAGATGGTATTGTTATTATAGAAAATTAAAATGTTGCATATATTTTGATGTCTTTGAATACTAGAAATTTAGGAACAAAATTTATTTGAAACGTAAGTGATATGTACATATATATATATATATATATATATATATATATATATAT